AAAAAAATCTGGAAGGTGCCAAATAAGGACTTCCTGTGTCTCCTTATTTATCTCTCATTCACGTGGGCATGGAGCAAAGGAGGGGTGGGAGTGAGGAGCAGCCCCCTCACAGCTGTTCAGGGATGTCTGGACAAGAAGCCCACCCACATTGCGCTAGGACACTGGGTGTGACTCGCAGGGTATCGGGTTTGTCTGTTAGGGAAACTGCCAACCTCCTCCCTCCCCAGTCGGCCTCTGTGTTTCCTCGCCTGCCCTCTGAAGAGAATAGAGGTGTCCCTTTCCTCAGACACTTCCCTGAGGAATCTTCTTTCTTCTCAGTAGACTGTGAGCCGTTAGCTTTATGCATTTTTTTCTACTGGATGAATTCCAGTGGCCAGTAAAGAGGTGGAAGTCAACTCAGAAGAAGCACGTGGCCAAGCTTGCATTGTGTTGGCTTCTCCACTGATGTAAAAAAGCATTTGACTCTAACCCACCACCTTCAATTCTAGGCCCAGCTTGACTCTGACTGGATGCCCTCTTCAGCAAGTATTAGATCCACAGTGCACAACATTGGAAGGCCTAGCAGGATCCTCTTCAAAACAGAACTTGGTTTCTACTTCCATAAATCAGAGATCGTGGGGTTGAACTGAAGTCATGTACAAAAAAGAGTCTTAAAACTAAAAATCGCCAAACTCCTCAGTCCTTTCACTTGTGGTGACATAGGATGAATTCATTACTGCAGCACCTCTGATGCTAGAAGATTCTCTCCTTATCCCTGTATTACAAAAGAGAGGAAGGCCAGGATGGAGAGGACTTGAGGTTCAGTTACCCCGACAAGAAATTCAGCTTCTCCAATCACAGAGCCACCAACAGCCAGAGCTCTAAGGAATGTGCGAGATCGTCTGCTTTGAGCCCCGCATGGTGGCATATGCTGTTTTCAATTGCCCTGAGCCGACTGCCCTTTCCTTAGCTTAATAGAAACTGTTTTCTTTTGGAAACTCTCTCTGCCCCAGTCTTGGTGGAGCTGTCAATCAAGGTGTTCAGACCTCTGCTGGCCAAACCTGTCCTCTTCTTTCTGAGAATTTGAATCTTAAGGTAAATGACTCAAGTTCAAAAAAACAAAAAATAAAAAACCGTTGGGTCTGACGCACCCCTACGGTGGCACTATGAAGGGACTCTGTCCACACCTGTTGCTTAGGTCCCTGTAGCTATTCTGGTCCCAGCCCTTTCCCAAATCTTGTTTTTCATCTTTCTCTTCCAGTCTGTAGATTTTCCTATTTTTAAACTATTTTCAACCTATTTTCATATTTTTAGCTTTATTTAGCCGGAGTTAGTTTCTATTGCTAATAACAGAAGAATTCTCACTGGTACATCCTTCCTCTTAAAGATGAACAATGTAAGGCCCAAAGAGAACAGGCTGTTTGCTGTAGTCAGGGAGGAAGTTGGGACCAAGGCGCAGACTCGAGCCGGCTTAGTCAGTTTCTTTCTGTCACATCGCTGCCTTGTCTAGGACCACGGCAGCCTTGGAGGCAACGAGCTACCCCACGTCACTGTGGGACTCCGCGGGATGAGTTATGATTGAGCCCTTATGAACTCGTTAGCTTTCTGCTTCTGGCCATAATTGAAGATGTGAGACCATAATTTTTCCTTAATAATAAAAAATAAAAGGAGCAATCCACAAGTTCAACAGCGATAAAAAAAAAAGAACAAGTTATTGACATACTTAACAACATGGGTATATCTCAAAAACAATATGTTGAGTGTAAAAAACCTACAAGACACAAAAGAACACCTGCTCAATTTATGCAACATTCTAGCACAGTGATGTCCAGCACAGTAGCCACTAGCCACATGGGCTATTTAAATGTAAGTTGACTAAAATTAAATAAAAATTAAAATGTAGTTTCTCAGACACATCAGCCATATGTGGCTAGTGGCTACCATGTTAGTATAAATAGAGAACATTTCCTTCATCACAGGAAGTTCTATTGGATAATGCTGTTCTAGGAAGACATCTAACACATAATGAAAAAAAAAGACTGTCTAGGGCCAGTGATGAGGAAGGACTAACTACAAAGGGGAGCATTTGGGGGTAATCAAAATGAGGGGTTTAGGAGGTAATGAAATATTCTCTATCTTGGTTGGGGTAGGGGCTACACAGTATATAATATGTCAAAATTCCTGAAATGGAACAGTTAGAATTAGTGAATTCCATTGCATGCAAATTATATCTTAATGACGTTGGTTCTAAGAAGTCAAGGGCTTTGTGGAAGTTCTTTTTTAACTGCTTATAATAATTAGTAGATGATCTTTACAAAGATAATACACATGTTATTTGTCCACCGGACCATATTTTGCTAGTCTCTGCAAATACAGAGATGAATCAGATAGCACACCCGCCCTCAAGTTGTTTACGATTCAGTACAGGAGATGGGTCTAATGCAAAAATAGTTCAAATCCAGGAAGAAAGAAGCAGGTGCCCTCATAGACTTGAAAATCAAATGACTTAAGACATCAGAGGTAGGGCAGCTTCCTTTTACCTGGAAGGATGAGAACGGCTTCCTGTTCTTTGACGTATTTGTGAGATGCAGATGTATGCTCACAGGGTTTAAAAACATTCTGGATGGAGGACAAAATGCAACGCAGGGCAGGGGGGCTACCAGAAAACTATGTAACCCAGAAAATAGACCACATGAAGGGGAGCAGTTAAGAAATAATTCACATGGATATACATGAGAAGGGTTTTGTGTTTTGAATACCTCAGTTTGGCAAAGTGTACACCTGCTAGGCGCTGGAAGGAGAAAGTGTCCTTTTATCTCACATTATGTCCAGAGTTCCAGGCCTTAAATGCCACTGTTTCCCTAAGCTTTTTATTTTCTCCTCCTCTTCATGCGAATCAAAAATCTTCACAAACAACACCATTCAAAGTTGTAAGTCATGGTCAGAAAGGCAATTGCTTTCTCCCAGGCTAATATGTACCTTATTCTATTACAATCTCTGCCTAAAAGACTTAAGGAAGGTGTTAGAAAAGCCTCTAATTTGCACACCAAAGAAATATTTTATACATTTTTACAGTAACCTGAGCCCCCCGGGTGAAGAGGGATGTAATATAAATATAAGTGGCAATTATGATGATTATGGGATAGTTGTCACTTACTTTCCCAGGCGCTGGATGGTTGTGTGCTATTGGTGGGTTGTTGAATCCTAAAGAGTTTGCTTTTGCCCTTGGTTAGGGTAGCTCTCTGCATTTATTTCCACAATGCAAGAGGAATCAGTATTTTTCATAATTATTTATATAAATTTTTGCCATTTAATACCTGTCCCCCTTAGCTAAGTAAATTTAGGGTTTTTTTTTTTTTTAAAAAACAATGACTATTGATGTCAGGGCATACGGTTTAAATGGTCTTCTTTATAAATGGGGCTAGAAACCTTTTGAAATGAAAATGATGTAAGGAATATTTGCAAATTAATCCTGTATTTGAGAGTCTAAAGCCCCTGCTGGTGATTTGAAATATTTAGAAGAGCTCTGCTTATTTCCTAGCAGTAAATAAACAGCAGGCTTGTCCAGAGCACTAGGCCTTGCTACTCAAAGGGTATGCCAGACCAGCAGCCCGGGCATCGCCTGGGAGCTCACCCCCAGCTGACTGAACCAGACCCTGCATTAGCAAGAGTTCCAGGTGACTCACAGGTGCACCCACATTTGAGAAGCACCGCACTAGAGGTCATGATCTCACCTCTCGTGTCACCTCTCGTGGTACAAATGGGAAAAAGCAAGGCACTGAGTGATGGAGCAACTTGGCCGTGGTCGAAGGAAACGGAGCACTTTGAATTTAAGAACGCTGTATGCTCCGGTCATCCGTATTTGCCAATAGCAGGGAATAAAGCCAAACACTTTAACTCCAATTAACAAATCTATAATTAATTAGTAAAATGATCTTCCCTCAAGTTTCCCGTTTTGTAGAACAAGCTGTTTGAATTGGCTGGGGCTCAGGCCGGCGTGTTTGTGAATTTCACAATTCACAGATGTTAGACACTCTCAGGCTAAGTAAAGAAGAGAATGTCAGGTTTTAAATAGCTTCTCTCTTCTATCCTGGCTGAAGCAACAAATAAAATATTTTTATGAGATGCATTTTGAACCAAAATTTCTCAAAAGGAAATGTCAAATTCCTCTGAAAAGGACTTTAGATTATCTCACAACTTTGACAACTTCTGATGTCACCAGGTTACAGGTGACCTGCGATTGAGGGGTGAGTGGAGGATGTGAACTTGCCATGTTAGTGACACTTGGGCACACTTACTGGGTTTTTTTTTTTTCTGTTGGAGTCTATTTTAATTTAGCTTCTGAATCATATTTCATTCAATTTCCAAATCCACAAAACCAGGATAGGTTTACAGCTTGTATTCATAAAGGAAGTGAATTATTCTGTATGTAGACTTTTTTGATACTATATTAATTTTTAGATATACGAAAGACTTAGCAGTTTTCACTCCAGAGTAGCTTGAGCCAAAGCAAAACCAAAACAAGCAAAAACAATACGACATAAAGAAGAGGGTGAGAGGGACTGAGAGAGAGGAAAATGAAACGTTTTCAGTAACAGACAATTTGAAATAATTTTGTAAGCTTCAAAATAGTGTAAAATAGTATATTTTCCACTTTAATATTAGTTTAAGAAATAGTGTGTGTGTGTGTGTTTGAGGTAGAATATTTCAAAACCTCCATAAAGGTTATTCTTATTGTTTTTTAATTTAGGGGAGGCAAAACTTCTAAGGGGATGTGAATGGGTATCTCTTTTAGCTGAGATGAAGAGTGAGTTCTAGGTTAAATATAATCAAGGAATTTCCCTGTCTTTGCTATTTGAGATTGTGACCACAACAGGCGGTTGGCTGAAAGGGAGAATGAAGGGGGGAAAGGGGAGGGTGAAGGTGGAGATGAAAAAAAAAACAAGCAAAACAAAACAACTTCCTAAGCAGCTCTGTGAGATATTTAGTTCCAGAAGCAGTTACAGAAGTCGTCAAATCAAATCAGCACGCAGATCCAAGGGAACATTAATTAGCTGGAGAGGGTGAACACTCATCTGCTCTGTTCTGTTCTGAAAGTCCAGGCTGCTGAAATTAAACTCTGATGCCATTCATGCCAGCATCCAATCACCAGAGAGACCAGAAGCTCAGAGATGACTCCAAGTTGCCAGCAAGTGTGGCCACTATACGTCAAGGACTCTAAAGCCGTCGTGGAAGGGGAAGAACAACGTTAGAGAGGATGCCCAGCTGGTAAGATTCAACCGTTTCTGATGTTTTAGTCACTTGATGAATCTCATTGGCTCAAATCAAGAAACGCTCCGCCTCTTGGCAAATGTGTGTGAAGGGGGGGAAGTGTCTACACTTCTATGTCTGATAGCATTTGACCCTATTGCTTTTAGCCTCCTGGCTTTATATCTACATATACACAGGTAGATGTGTATATGTTATAAAATTGTTCTCCACTTGTTGATATCAAAGAGAGTTGAAGGCAATGAATTTTGAAACTTCACGGTGTGCCACCCTACAGTACTGTCCCGACCCTTACATCCAGCGGTGAGTTTAAACGTGACGTAACTTCTCTCAAAACTTAATTGGAGTGCCTTGTGTATGATGAGTGTTTCTGCCTGGTACAAAGAGCAACCTCTCCTTATTTATGAGCACGGTGATATTATTTTGGACTTTCTGTGGACTTAAAGTGGTCTGTGGGCATCTTTTCTAATGTTCTTTTCTAGTTCCTATCTGGATCTACCAAGTGACAAAGTTTGAAGACAGTCTTCCCATGGTTTCTTAAAAAACTTGTCATACCATTTTAAGATGTTTAAAATCTGTTACTTGCCTGGCTCAGCCCTCACCCACCCAAGAGAAGACGTTTCATTGGACAGGGGATGGATTAGCCTGTGGAGGTTCTTCCTGCCAAAATAAACACAATAATTTTGATGCATCCCTTAAAAAATAGATAAATAGCCATTGTTATACCAAACAGATTGTGGCTTGTCATTTTGGCTCTGTGGCATATTTTCTTCTTGATTTGTTTCACAACAAACATCATCTTTTGAGAAATCTGACTTTTAAAAACTTACGATGCTACTGAATTTTCTTTCTGTTTATAGGAAGAAACATTTGCCTAGCACTAAAAGGGGATATTAGGGAGCGTGCACGATGTGTGTGTGTGTGTGTGTGTTTCAAATTAGAGTTGGCTATTTTTAAACTGGTAAATGAAACGTGAAGAGTGTTTTCCAGTCATAAAGTTATGGGAGAAATTCAGGTCGTTATGTCACGGTGTGATGTTGTTAATTTAACAGCATGAGATCTGACGTTGGAATTTCATACTTTATTTTATAAGACTAATGAGAGAGGTCCTCTGAGTGTTGAAAATGGTGTGGTTCCAAAGGGGTTAACTTGTCATTCACCACGGGTGCTTGGTAGAGCCTCAGTCCCACAGTGGAGGGGGCTCCCTGGCCAGGGCTCACTGTGGAGTTGCCCAGGCAGTTAAGGAAGATGTGTGATTTTTTGTTTAGTGAATATGATTTGTCACCATGTAAACATTCATGTGAACTATGGAGACTTAGCTTCTTTTCCTGGGAGGTTTCTGGGGGGGGCTGTGTGAGAGAGCGCAAGAGGAAGAGCGAGGTAGAAATGGAAATGGAATGGTGGAGAAAGTAAGACAAGAGAGGGAGAAAAAGGAAAGAAAGAGAGAGAGGAAGCATGATTGTGGTTTTCCAGGTTGAAATGCGATGATTTGATTCCTGCCTTGCTGTGTGCCACGGACAGCAATATTAGCAAAAATGAACGGCTCTGGGCTTGATGTCCTTAGATAACTCAAAAATTAGATTTCCTTGCAGTTGGGGAGTGGGTGGATGACGAGCGAAACACTGCAGATTTTCTAGTTCTCAACATCTTTTCCAGCCTCGAATTTGCCTATTCCAATAAAATCTTGGAAATAAGTATTTCTAAGAGGATAGTTCTGAGGAAACGTTCGCTGTGTGATGCTTCTCTGGAGGGCAGCTTTTTAAAAGTAGGTACTTGGATCTACCTCCGCTCCAGGAGAAACTTTATTCTATTGACTAGCAACCCACACGTCAATCATGTACACCTCTGTCCAGAGGTATTTCTAGTGATTGATGAGAGACGCCTGTAAATTGCTTTTCATAGTGTCTCAACAACCTGTTAATTCACGGAGCAAATATCATCTGTTTTTGAACAGATGGTAAAATTTAAAATCATACTAGTACTTTCAAAACACTTTAAATTTTGCTGAGTCCCTGAACTTTTATCATGGTGAGTGTCACTTTCGGGGAGAGGCAGGGAGCTGTGAGATTGTGGTGCAGGGGTCCTAGGGAACGTTTATTTGCCAAATAAATTGTTTTAGGCAAGATTATGCACTTTTCATTTGTCATAAAAACTGAACCGGCAAACAAATTAAAGCAAAATATTTGCTGCTTATCATCTACTCTGAGTGAGACACTGGAAATACAAAAATGAATAAGGTGTGGCTGTAATGTTCATTTATATAACTCAATAGTCCTTATCTATTTAATAACATATATTTTCCTCATATACTTTAACTGTTTTGTCAGCTATTTCAAGGACTGAATTCTTGCTGCTTTTCGATTATACCCCCTCAGTGAATAAACGAATGAATGAATAAGTGAAACACCACGATAAGAAAGCGAAGATACTGTATCTTGTCAAAGCAAGAATTGAATGATATTCTCTTGTATGCCTAAGGAGTGAATGGGTTTGAGCTGGTTTTTCTAAGCAGACAACCCTTGCCGTTCTCAGTTTACAAAATCTATTTTAAGTAAGACCAAATTTAATCATTCCATAATCATAGTCATCTACATAGTTAAATCTGTCTTTTTCCTGACCTTGTCTTTAGAAAGAAGTCATGAAAGGGAGTTTTCAAAAAAAAAAAAAAGAAAGAACAGGATTTCCTATTATTTTTAACTCTAAGCTACCTTAATGCATGAATTTCCATATATCACGGAATAGAATAAATGAGAGATGCTATTACCATTTATTACTGAATGTTAATGCCGTTCCCCAAAAGCCAATTTTAATACATATTTCAAAGTGCGAAGGTAATCACTCTCTCAGTTAAAATTGAGATTTCACCCTCTGTTTTTTTTTTCCCCTTTGCACCTGAACATACTGGCATATTATGCATTTAGTGGTTCTTTGATATGAATGCTAATTTACTTTAGTATTTGCAAAAAACTTTTCTGAAAACCAACAGTCCTTAAACTATAAAGCTTAGATTTCCTCTTTAATGCTTTTGACCATTACAAGAAGACAAGGTGGGAAAAAAATCACAAGGTTTGTCATTTTACTGCTAGCTTAATTTTAACAAAAATAGATGAAAATATCCAAAATCAATAAAGAAGAGCCCAAGGGTAAGATCATTTCCTTATAAATGAAAACTATATACAATGAGTTCTATGTATTTTTTATTAGTAAGTACTCAGAATAAATCTGAAATTTGGCATTTGAGAAGTTAAACTTTCATTAATTTATTGTTTGGGTTATAAATTGGGCCTTCTTGCATCCTTTCATTTTTTAGAATTGCCACCTAGTTTTTAACATACATTTCTTTAACCAAGTAATTCTAAAAGATTAAATTCTTCCAAGTATCATTTTGCAAATCAACTAGTTAAAATGATCAAGTTGAATCAAGATTAAATTTTGAAACACTGTGATAGCTGTACGCTAAAAGTAAGAGAAACTAAAACATATGACAATTTGAACCACTTGCAAAATGATTCTGAGTTATTTTTTCAGTCACCCTCTACTCAGAAGTTTAAACTGTTAAAGCACTGTATGGATGAGTAAGAAGTATTTCCTGTGTAAATTCCATATTGATTGTGAATGTTATGCTTTAGTAACTTAAAGGTCAACTTTATTAACTGTGTTTTCTAAATATATCCCCAAAGGACAGGGAGATGGTGACAGTGAAGGCACAGAGGAGATGATTTTATTCGTCAAATACAATCACATAAAGGCAGATGTAGTTCTGCGTCAAGTGTCCTCCTCTTACCCCTCCACACCCACCCTTCATCCTTCTAGTTCTGGACTCCAGGAAGCTGATTTCCAAAGATTGCCTTGACAGTTCCTTTCTCCTCCAGTTTCCTCTGGGGTTTAACCAGGGGGCACCTCCAGCAGCACATCGAAGGGCATGAGAAGAGGGAACATGGGTGTACTGCGTATGTTTCCCTGGCCTCCTCCGCTCGGTTTTCTGCTCAAGGGTCCGGTAGGGGCCCTTAGCCCAGGTCCGGGTGTCTTGTGTTCGAGTAACGGCTCTCTACTCTCCCTCTCCTTCAAGTTGAGGAACTGTAACTATTTCTAGCCACTGCTAGCTAGCTGCAAAAAGCCACACCGTGTCTCTTCTCCCTTGACAAATAGTCCCTTCACTCCAGCTCCTCTTTTTCCAACTGCTCTTTTTCCTCCCAGGATAAAAATGAAAAAGGTGCCCAGAGTGTTCTTTATGTGCATATCACAACTTTGGAAAGTGCTATAACACACAACAATAAAATTTCTGATGCCAGATAAAGGATGTGGCCATCCATTTCAATGAGCAAGCCAGTTTTTAATAAGGCTAATCCATGAACTTGAGCCAGCGCCATAATCACTAAGTTTGTCTGGCTGAAAGGAGGGAGCCGACACGCTGCATTCCCTGTAGGTTGTTTATATCAGCACTTGCGATGAAGCAAGGCAGAGGGCTGGAAGAATTGGTTCATAAAGAAATATAAAGGTACAATTTATCAACAGGGACTAATGTGGCCACCAGTTACAGTCAAGAAAAAAAACCCTGCCTCCAGCCCCTGTAATTTTTACAAGAGTACCTTTCGAAAGACCTTTATGACCAGCTGTAGTCAGCCCAAAGCATGACATGTTGTAATTCCGTGTGCTGCTGCTAAGCTGTGACTGCATTTAAGTGGCAGAGAGGCAGGGAGTGTGTCAGCCGGGGGCCCATAGGACTTGTCAAAAGGTCTAAATAATGGTCTTAATGCTACCTCTCATTGATTATGTGACCTTTATGAAATCACTTAAGCTATCTAAATCAAAATTTCCTCATAAGCTAAGAAGGGATAACAGCTTCTGATCTACCGTTCAAAACTGACACTGAGAATTAAAAATTAACCCAACTGAACTCTGAAATCCATCCACTTATTGTTTTGCTCAGTTCTACTATTGTGTGCACAGCACACCGGAGGCCTGGAGGTCCCTTCCCAACAGCACTGTGTCCTCACACA